TAAGGATTGAAGCTTTTTTACTCCTAGCATTTACATCTTTGAGGTTATTTGGGAGCACTTGTTCGGAGCAGTTAGCGTGACTTCTGTCCCTTTCCTCCAGCAGGTATCAACCTATCTCCATATGTTGTCCTCGTTGAGAGGTGTTCGTTGACTGACAGACTGTTTTAGATTTAAGACGCTAGTGCGAAGATGAACAATAAGTTAACTTCAGAGCAAATAAAACAGATCTTTTTGAGTTACAGTGTAGGAAGTAAAACAATGGTCTTGGTAAATTCTAACACGGGGTATATTACCCGGGGCATAATAGACCTATTTTGGCGAAGTTTGTTCTTTTGTTATTCAAATAGAAGGAATTGTTATTCTGAATTAAACTGGTCCGTGTGTGCTCTTATACTCGATTTGAGGAATCCGGTACAGATGAGGCTTCTAACTCCAAAGAAACTGGTATTTTCTTTTGCTTTGGTCGTTGGTGGTATTGTACTTTATATCAAAACTTCCGAGCATATGAAATGTTCAGAATTGAATTTTCTACAAAAATGCCTGTCATTTAGCGAGATCACAAATGACAAGTTGGTGCAAGAGGCAGCGCGAAAGAGTTCCCCGATCTCCTTAGCAGATCCCGTTCAAAAGGAATACAGGGAATGGGAAAATCCACTCGGTCAATCCGTACTCGGACAAGCGGAAAGGTTTGTTGTAATTCTTATAATAAGCGCACCGTTTAACACGATTCAAAGATTAGCCATTCGACAAACGTGGCTCTCTATCTTAGCAGACAATTCGGTAGCACTGGGTCGTCCAAACATCAGAGATATGAAGGATCCTACGAATTCCTCCAACACCTTACTTATTCAATACTTCTTTGTTTGCGGCCACTCCTATCGAGAGTCGAATCCGTTGTGGCGAATGAGACAGAAGTCTACGGAGACATTTTAAGGCTGAAGTACACGGAGAAATACTCACTGTTAGTTAACAAGACGTTGACTTCTTTGAAGTTTGCGTCAACAATGAACGTTAAATTTGTTGTCAAAATAGACGACGACGTGTATTTGGATTTTCCCAGAATGGTTTGGTTTCTTAAAACAGCTTCTTTGCTTGAAAGGTTGTACGCTGGCAACTTAATTCATCGCGGAAAAATTATCAGGAGGAAACAGAACAAGTGGTACGTCAGTTATCAAGATTACAACGAGACCGCCGTCTCAGTTTCCCGTGTACTGCAGTAGCCCATTCTACATCTTGTCTAAAAGCGTTGTTCTTGAACTTCTTGCCGCGTCCAAGTATACCCGGACATTTCCGTTAGAAGACGCCTATCTGGGGGTGTTAGCTAAGAAACTCGGTATTGTGCCTACTAATCTGCGGAAGGGCGGTGTAATCATTTTATTCAATTTTAGATTGAAAGCGGAGCATGTATGGGAAGATAGCAAGTTAACTAAATTCTTCGCACTGGGACACAGTTTAACACCCGAGAGGTTCTTTGCGTTTCATAAAAGATACGTTAACATGACGATTAGTTATCTGTCAAATTGAGCGATCTCGTCCGTAATACTGAGGTTGTATACTGATATGTAATGGTAATAGGACTGAGTGGAGTCCAATTCGGTCTGTTATCATAAGAGTGATAACAAAATCGGACGACCGCGCAGCAGGAGTCCGATTTGTTATCACYAGTATGATTACAGACCGAATCGGACGACACGAAGTCTTATTACCAATTAATCATAAAAATTACAATTTCCGAGAAAAGAAGAATAGCTAAGTTATGAAAGAAAGGGAAAATTTGCATGAAAATACCTACAAAGGAGATGTAAACATTCTAAGGCCACCGCGCCTCCTACCGGCAATTAGGCGCCCAAAACACAAAAGCAAGCGCGCGCGCGCGCGCGCACGTAACTACAACTTTGAATGTGATTGGTTGATTCAACTTTGAATGTGATTGGCTTATTGAACTGCCTGATGACAAAATGTCCAATAACAACGGTCCAGTAACAAACTGTCCGATAACAACTTGGCAAGTGAATTAACGGAAAATAGGAGTTTTTTTTAAACCAATCACAATCGAGGAAATTGTAATTTTTATGATTAACGCTTTTATAAAATAACTGAGATACTACGTGCGCGCTCATTGGTCGTTAGGAGCGTTTAGATGGGAGTATGTAAACACGGTTGTGAGACATTTTAGATTTGCGCGTATTCTTTTGAAACATTCTATAAAAGCAATAGAATAATTTTTCCG